CTCCTTATGTGTAGTCAGTTGATATGTGTATACTGTCTGCTCAATTGATGTCTGTCTGTCTGTAGGACTGGCCTGAGCAAGCTCAGGTACCCATGTGTTGGTTTTGATGCTTATTTTAAGCTCTACAATTAAGCCTTTCTCCAAGTCCTCACATAGAAAGTTTCATATGTACATGTATTTGAATATGCAGATGAGAGCATTTCTTCTCTGTTTCCTAATGACTCTTGGACTGCTTAGGAATTTAGTGCCTTTTTCAAAAAAAGAAAAGTAAGAGTCATGGTGGGTCCTTACAAATGGAATAATTTTGTGTCTAGTTATAAGAAAAAATAGAAACCTTTATAAATTCTGTGTTCTCAGATCAATAATGCTGTTTTATTATGTGTGTAATAATAGTTCTCATTTTCTCATGTGGATTTCTTTTGAGTCTGTAAGTATAATGAATACTGAAAGTTAAACATGAAATTAAAAATCCTGTTATTAGTTGTTTTCATTTATTACCACAAGAGGGCAATGCTGCCCTCCTCAGGATTTTGAAAAACAAACAGGAAAACAGTTACTGTGCCATCTCTTTGCCAGTTAATTTCCAAAAGTGTCTGTGTTACCTATTTAGGTGGACTACTTACAGTGCAAAAACACTTCTTTTCCCAGAGAGCATTATGCACATTATGCATGGACTCAATACTGCAATTGCCTCGTTCCTGACTTAGTCAAGACTATAGATGCTTTTTTTTTTTTTCACCCCTTGAACTGTGTCTTTCATGTCTCAGTACTGCCAGATGTTGTCCTGGGAGTGCATTCTTGACACAGTTTCCTGGCTTAGCCTTCAGAATTGAGTTGAGAAGGGAGAACTTTCAATATTAACATAATGTTTGGGCTGAAAAAAGCTGTGTCCTTGGCTGAAGACTGCCTTCAGTTTCCTTTGATTGCTGGCAGTAGCTCTCTTCAGTGTATTAACTGGTCATAATAGTTTTTTTAAAGTCTAGTGAAAATGCATTGAGTTATAAAAAAGTATCCCAGACATTAATTTGAAGTGAGAATTTCAATCTAACATCATAGCAGGTGTCCTACAAGACACTTAAGCAGCACGTAGACTTAGTTGGTCACTTGGGCTATTTAAAACTTTAAACATTTTTCTCTTCATTCTTTGTCATACTGCTCCCCCCAAAACTGCAAGGGAAGCAAATAACCATGTCTCTTGTCATCCAAGCCTCTGCTTGCATTAGTGCTATGAACACTTTCATTTAAAGCCATTGAAAGAACCTAGAGAAACCAATCACTCTTCTCTCTCTCCATCCTTTATGTAAAGCCAGAGCTGCCTGTGCTTCTTAAGAGACCTAGTTTTGAATGTTGGATTTATTCTACAGTTAAGGAACCACATCAGAGGACGTGGGAGTGTGTAGTTCTAGATTATGAATCACCTACAAGCTGTTTTAAAAGATGTTCCTATACCATATATATCCAGTTGTCCAAATGGCCAGGCTCAACTGACTGGGAATTATTTGGGTAAATAAAAACACTGTTGGTTAGTTTTGTTTCAGTTGAGAGTGAAAGCAGAAGCTACTGCAGTGCAGTAGTGTACAACTGGTAGTTATCTGACATGTACCATTAAACAGTAAGGCTGAACTATGTGCATTAGTGTTGCTCTCTCCTTACAGATGTTTTTCCTTTCTTATTGCTTAGTGCTGCACTAAGTTAACATGAACCACAGCAGGAATTTTGTCCTTATTTCCCCCAATCCTAGATGTTTACTTCACCTCAGAGGCTGTTAAAATACACCTTTTCACATAGTTACCTAGACAGTTGATATTTTGTTTACATCAGCACGACTCTTTTTTTTTTCTTCATCTTCTGAAAGCATAGTTTTGCACTTCAAAAACTGGCAGGCCAAAGCCCAGTGCTGGTCAACTGGACTGAAAAGCTGACTCTCCATGACTGTGATAGCATCATCTTTGTTGCAGTAACAAAGTGAAACCATTTGCCATGGTTTCCATATGGTTAAAATACATAGATTATGCTAGAGAGAGAGAGAGTGTTTGCAGCAGATGTCCTGGAATTTGGGAAGACACAGAAGCTGTGTCTCTACAAGGATGGGCAGCATCACAGTGGGCCCCGAGGAACACAGATTACTTCAGCACATGGATTTGGCACAGTGACAAGACTAAATACTTGAGACAGCTCATCAGGCACAAGCAGTGCCTGCAGTTTTTCCAGAGTCTGGGAAAGCCTGTCCAGCCTCATCAACATTTGTGTTGTGTACAATGCTTAAACCCAATAAGAACCCAACCCTTGTCAGCATCTCTAGGATGTGCTTCTGGAGCTCTGTGGTGTGGCAAACAGCTTGTCTTCCAGCTCTAAAGTGAATATGTGTAATGAATTCAGGATTGAGTCTTCAGTTACAAGAAGCTTGCTGTACCTTCCCACACATAGTGCCTTCTTATTTCACTCATCCCCACCAAAAATCCTTTAACTAGCTGCCATAGATTTTCGATAAAAAAAGGTGGTACTGCAAAGGAAGGAGCAATTATCCCTGGAATAAAGATGTGAAAAAACCCTGTCCTTTATCAATGATGTAAATAATTCTACTTGGAAAAACATCTCCAGGTAATGTATGGTGACATGGTGACAGAATGCACTTCCTATAATGAGCAATAACAGATATCACAGTTACATTTCTAAAATAATTTTGAATGGCTTCCAGCATGATGAGTCATATTTGACATTATACAATAATGATGTTTTTTGTAAATAGTTTTACATAATTTATTTATTTTGAGATTAAGCACAGTTTATTCACAGGCAGCTCCCATAGGGTTTGGTCTACGAGGACTTTGAGAAAAGGCTTTGTTGCAGCTCCTATCACTTAAATGTTTTAGCACTTCAGCCTCCTCAACATTCACATTCAGCCAATTTACACTGCAAAATAGTTAAAATCACTACATCATGGAAAATGACCTAAATCTGTTCTGCCCCCATCACTGCAACAAGGGCTGTGTGCCTTTGAGCAAGACTCTGCTGCTCAGCTTTAGCTTTATAATTGAGCCATAGGTTCCTAACAAACTTTCCAATTCCTACATTGCTACAGGACCTAATACACTATGAAAATACTATTTATCATATTAGTGACACTTACTCCAGCCCCTCCTTCCAGACTAACCAGTTTACTGCCTTTTTTTTCTTTACTTTATTGATGCTTTCGTTTCCTCCTCTGTTATTCACACCCACACCAATGCAGTCAAAAGCAGTTTAGTCCCACCTGCATGTTTTTAACATCAGGTGCTACTGGCAATACTTTAAAATAAAACCCTGTAGTCTCCCATTCTGGAACTGGCAAAGTTGAAGTTTTAAGTCAGGAAGTGATTTAATGTGATTTTTTTAAAGACCCTGAAACAAAAAAAAAGACTACTTTGATAGGTACAGTCCAAGCACATAAAGGGGTTCATGTTTAGTTTCAAATTTTTTGATTTACTGGGAGTGCTGACGTTTACTATTAAAATAAACTTATGAATACCTTTTTTATAATTATATGCTCTGATTTATTTATATGTAAACAGTTTCAAATATTTAAAAAAACAACATAATAACAACACAAACTTAGTCTTGGATGATGGAAATAAAGGTTGAACTTGAAGACTTGGGAAGTCTTTTCAACCTCGATGATTCTGTTAAATCCAACTAATTATGTTTAAATAACTAGCCATTATTTCTAAATAAACATCTCACGTTTGCACGAGTGTTTGTTTTTCCCTTTTCATTATGGAGGATATATGACAACTTCTATGACAACTGAGACTTCCTATGGCTTTTTCAAGATGTATTGCTTGAATATTTGTTTAATCTTCCTAGAAAGTGTTTCAAGAGAGGAATAAAAGGCTGCATTTGGAATTATGTCCTGCTACTTTGCTGCACCAAGCAATTGTGAACTGCTTGTATTCAGTAGGTAGTTTTAGGTGGTGAGGTAGACCTCCACAGAAATGAGATACAATGTGCTGATTTTAGTAAGGCATGGAACATGAAAGATTGTCTTGATTCTTTCTAGCCCACAGACATTTTGCTGTTAATTTTAAAGACCACAGGAGCAGATCACAAGACCATTTTTAAAAAATTTAACATCAGAAAATAGAGAAAAATAGTAGTCAGTACTAAAAAAAAAAATTCAAGGATGTTTTTGAATTTTATTCCCTGCAAAGAAAAATTAATTTTCAATAAAATTTGGGTATTTCTGTGTTATCTGTTTGCCCCTTTCTTTGTGCAACTCCTTATTAGGGCAGCAAGCAGTGTTGTGTATTGTAGGCACCCAGTCAGTAGCAGCAAAGTGGAGATTAGAGATTACAAATAATAAGAGTTTCAAAATGTATGAGTATTTAAAAAAATTTATTTCAGTTTTAAATTTATACAGTCAGTGAAACAATCCTATAAAATGATTTTTCTAGGATGTAACAAGGCACATAAATTACCAAATATAAACATAGAAAAGTAGCCAAAACAATGAACTAAGCCCACATACACCTTTAGCTATATTAGAGATGTGTGAATGATTTATGAGAATGTGAATCACTCTATTTACAGGGTAATGAATATTTCACATTTCACTTGACCAACAACATTAAAAAGAAGGGGAAGGAAAAGCTGATATCCAAGAGCAGTGCCATGTTTTGTGTCTGCATCTCGTGCAGCTCCTCCTTGGTGTGAGGGCTGTGCCCCTGTGCCTGTTTCCCTTACGGGCTGCAGGATGTCACCTCACCGTGTGACCAACCTGCTCCACTGCCTGGCACAGCAAGGGACAATCCTGCCCCCTCTCCATGCTTCCATATTGGGCAACTTTGAAAACAGAAAGGATCTACACATAGATGGAACACCCAGCATGGTGTTCAGCTTTAAATAGTAGAATAGTGGGAAGGGGTTTCTTGGGCTTTTTTCTTCCTTTAAGAAATGGCTTTGAGAAGTTGTTTGGCATGCAATAAGCCATTATATTCTACTAATTAAGAAAAGATTGCAAAATATAGAAATAGTCAATTTTTATTTCATTTCAAGAGACATTTCCAAATAATTCCCCAAATACCCATTTTTCACCTGCATATATATATTTCAACTAACCTAACAGTCAGGGATTCAAAGTAATAAGATTTTCATACAAATATATTTCATTGTCTATTTTCTTCCATTAACAGGATGCACTCCTTTATGTAGCTCTAAGTATACATTCACATATTAAAGAGTAATAATTTGGCTAAAAATATATGTCTATTTATTATCTGATTGTAGTAATTAGCCTATCAAGGGTAATTTGCTATAAAAGATACAGTACTAGAAATAAATAGTTCTAAATTCAATGATCTTCAAAATGGGGTGTCATTTCCAGTCGGTGTTAAATTTTCCAAAGTCCTTTTAAAGCATTAACTAAATTCACTACACTTGGGAGAATAATTTGGACCTACATACATGAAGTCCCACATACACGAGAAGCTTATTTCACTTAATCTCCTTCTTGGTTTTGTAATGGGCAGAAACAACCAGATAATTGTCTGGATTCATGTCCCTGAGGTTTGGAGACTTGCTCTGGATTGGAGAAGTTTTCCCATCTACTCGGGAGATCTGCAGCATTCGGCACGGGTCGTGCTTCAGTAAATAACCTGCAAAAGTCTCCCAGCCTCCTCCAACACGGACCATCACGTGTTTGTTGTGCAGCATCTGAAATTAAATAGGGGGGGAAAAAATAATAAATCTTGAGAGGCAACCATTCACAAAGAAATCACACTTTTTTTTTTTGCTGTAAAAAAACTCTTACTTTAAATGACATAAAAAACGTATGACGGTAGTCCACTTTACAATAAAAGGAAAAGAAATAGCAGAGTGTAAGAAAATGAGCTGGTGTTTTAAACTGAAGATTTTTATATTTTATGTAAATAAATGCCACACGTTTTTCTAGTCCTATAGCATGGGGTTTTTCTGTTCTTCATGTGTTTAGTGGAAATATGCCAGGGAACATGAATACTTTTAGATTATTTCTTTGAAAATATGTTAGTAAAGACACCATTTTATATTGTCTTGAAACTGGCTTTTCTTTATAGGAATAGTAAAGGGCAAACAACAAAAACAATTTCCTCTATCTCTGAAAAATTACAAAAAAAATTTAAGAAAATGAAGTTCCATTTAATGTAACAATTAAGTCTTAATGAAAATACAATCTAATAAAATAGTTTAATGTTGTAATTAAAATAATCCAATAAAGTACATCAGAAGTAATTTATCTGGAACAGTTTGGAAACACCTGAATTTTCTGCCTAAATTCAAATAAATTTTTTCTCCAAGTGCCAGTGTACCTTGCCTACCCTTGAGTTCAGTTGGTGATTTTACCCATTTTGTTTCTCCACACAGAACAGGCAAATAAATACCAGTAATGTATCATAAAACATGTATTTTATTGGTTTATTTTATAACCAACTTTGCAAATACCACCCTGAAAAATGCTTTAATCAGGATATCTCATGAAATGCTTAACAACATTTAACTGTAGTACCAGAAATTAAAAACTGGTCCTGTAAAAGGCATCTAGAAGAGATTCAACACAGTGTCTAGGTTTTTAAATTTGGATGTATGGCTGTGATGCCTCTATGGACATGTCCTTGAGAGCTGACAGTATTTGCAGTAGAGACTTACATAGCACATAAACCTTTTGTAACACAGCATAGCCAACAGAACAGGAAACACCCTCAATCAAATAAAATCACACATAGTAGAAGGCAAAAAAGTAACTTAAAAAAAAACCCCAACCAAAAAATCCTCACCTCAGCCTATTCATGAAGAAAGCATGGCCAGCTGTACAACTTAGTGAAGTTTGAAAAGGAGGTTATGTTTATAAGGAAAGGAACTCTTCATTAGAATAAGAAGCTGCAGATGAAATCTCATTTGACAGTTTTCATTCGAAACATTTTTACACAAGGACATTCTTGCTTCTGCACTTTGGTTTTTATGTGAAACACAATGGGAAATCAATTACGGATACTGAAACTAAAGTTTCTTCTGATCCATCACAAGGAGATGCTCAAGCACTCTCAGTTTAATGATGTCTCCCAGCTACTGAGTCTGTGCTGTTGCTCTGGGTTGTACGAGTGTTAGCTTCTACAGTAGCTGTACACAAATGAGGTTTTTCTCTAGATTTATGGGAGTGAAAACAGAGTCAGACTTTTCCTCTCAAGGTTTGTATTTTAGTTTCAAGATTGATTTGAGCTGGCAAGGGTATGAGATTTGAATGATGCCTTTAGTCTGGACAACATATCATGAAAGAAGCAAATGGTTTCTACAGAGTTTGAAAATTGATGTTCAAATGGCGATAGAGCCATGACAGTCTAGAGAATTTTATTTAACAACTTTCTTCTCTTTGGGTGCCTTAAAAAGCATTTGAGAACTGCCCCAAAACCTTTCAACATTAAAACAACTTGAGCCCAACTGGTGTAACACAGCATGAGGTGGGGAGGGGTTGACTGTGCCTGAAGTTTCAATTTTCTTATATTATCACAGGGGGATTCACGTTCCAAGAGCAGTTAGTACCTGGACTTTTGATTAAGATGGACATTTAGCAAAACGTATATTTGGTTCAATTTCCCTTACTGACTACTGTGCAAACACACTACACTATTTCCTGATGCTTAGGTTAAATGCATACCTTTTGTCTTTCCCCTCCTTGATCTTAATTTTTTGTGTTATTATACTCTTTCAAAATGTATTTATGCTTTCTTTCTACAGGGTTTTCCTACATCCTAAATGGAGTAACTGTTTATGCTGTGCTGTGCCACGAATGCACCATTTTACTCCTACAGTCATATTTTGATGTTAGTAACATCAGCATGAATTCAAAATAATTCTGCCAGTATCAGAATTGCTCCAGTTTCACAGAAGTATGAAGGACGGAAAAAAATGCAAAGCAAACTCTTGCTCTACTTTCTAACAGAAAAAGCAGTTTTCTCCCCAAAATGCTTCAGCTGAAGATGAAACTTTTGAGATTTAATAATCCATCCAATTCACCTTTTCAACTGCATGAGATCTCTGAGAAGAAAAGAAGTTGGATTCTATAATAATAAAGTTTATTGATATCAATTTAAATACATTAATGGCATATATGTATTTTCACACTGCTATCCAGCCAACTAAAAATAAGAAAATCTTTTCTGAAAATAAAATCCAACATATGTTTATGATTGCCATAAATTCCATGATTTCAGTTGTGTCTGAAGCAGGGCTGCCACTAAAGCTCTTCTCTCTTGAATCTGTCTCTAAGCTCAATCTACAGTGAACCAAATATTACTTAATCTTACTTAATTCTATTTTCAGACAATAGTAGACTCATTGAAATAATTATTCCAAGTTCTTCTGCCTAACTAACTGAAATCAAAATACATTTTTGTACTGATAAAAGTAACATGACAGTTAAATGACAAACATGACAGTTTGGACATTTTGAAATTCTTGATTTAATTCTCCCTCCGGCCTTATATTTAGTTTCTGTCTGATACCATTTCATAGAATTTGGAAATAGCATATGTTTCATGTCTAACACGAGATCTTGCTTTACTGTGTGAAAACAGCATCCTGCAGAGGTGAGCACTGTGTGCAAGAAATAACACAGATGCAGAAGTAAACACAATTCCTGTTCATTAAGGCCAAGTGAATTTCTGACAGTGAAGGCATTTATGTCTCTGACAAAGATTAATAGTGTCAAGGAAAATTATTTAGACATGGATTCACGTTCAGAATGGTGTTTGTAGGTAAAGGGACTGAATTTCCAGGCACTTTGGGTGACGTCTGGTGCACCTGGTTGAGGTCTGAGGGAATTTAGGTGACACTTTCTTGTTTCTTGCCCTCTAGACACATATGTCTGGGCCAGCCACAAGGAGGGCCTAGTTCCTATCAACTGAAATGTGGGATATTGAGCAGAAATCTGGTTACTCCTAGCTACACTGATTCATAAGAAATATTTTATGCAACACTCCACAGAAGTGATGATATGGCAAACAGATGAAATACATAAAAAGAAATCAGAGTTTATGAGAGTAGGTGAAAGTGTCAACTTGCAAATGGTATGTCTGGATGGAGTTATGGAAAACCATATGTAATAAAATCAAATAATGGGGGTAGGGGAAGACTGTATTTAAGAAAAAAATCAAAAACATTAGCATGAGGTTGCTAAAATGAATTCATGAGAGATTTCTTAAAAAGATGAAAAAGACTTTACTCTCATCTTTGAATAAAAACCCAAACAGACAACTAATTTTCTTAATCGTAATTATTAATTTTTCTATTAGCATTTGGGGCCCTGAAAAGTTTATCTTAAAAAACCCCAAATATCTAAAGACAATTCTCTCTCATTTTCTAATGTCAACTAAGTTTTCACCCCTCAAGAAATGCCTCTAAAATAATGTATTAGAGCAGTGAGGTACTCTTCAGAATAAGTTAGAAGCAGAATTTAATAAGAAATAAAAATATGAGTTCTATGTATAAACTGTGCACAAATTTAAAACAGAAACCCCACTAAATAAAAAAGGAATTAATTTTACCCAGACTATCAAGATTCTCCTAAGTTCCATTCCTTTAAGGATACTGAGTCACTTACAGAGTATATTCATGCAGAGTGATCATTTATTTAGATTTTGCCACAGAATTCAGCTAATCTGGGGTTTCATCATGCAAACGTGCGTGGGCTGCATGTGAACATGCTCGTGTTACAGGACTGCAGAAGGACATGAAAATGTTCTTATGAATCCTGAAGTGCCATCTGTTTTCTAGCTATTTTATCAAGACTCATTCTGTCTCTTTTAATTTCCAGCCTCAAAACAGCCAAATAAAAGAAAGTACTTCTTACAACTAAACCAAATCTGCACATTTTCATCGACAGAATTCCTCTCACTGCTGCCTCTGGACGCAAAGTGCATGTGGCAAGTGACAGATGTTTGAAGTCCAGCACAGACTGATTCCAGTTATCACATACATCCAACTGCAGCACCCTGTGTGTTTCCTTGTCTGCATTTTGGTTTTTTTGTTTTGTTTTACTTTCCAAATTGCTTCAAACAGCTGCTTTCAAGTGTATGCAATATCAATGCAGAAGCTGGAGTTAAAATGCTTACTTGTTTCCTTTACTGTGCATCCCCATCCTCTGGGATACCAGTACAGCAAACCCAACACTACCTTCCCTGCAGTGATCTTTGTGATATTTGTCACAAAAGTGACTGTTGGCCATTTTCCCCAGATCACCATCCTTTGCCTCCTGTTGAAATAAAGACTCTGCCAGTCCTTCAATGGTAAAAATCATAACCCATAAACTTTAAAATAATGTTTAAGGTATTTGGATTCACCCAACATTCAAAGTTAGTTGAGATAGGTATGGTAACATCCTCAAATTGACCATTTCAGTTTAACACGTGAAGTCCAAAATAAATACATAAACAAATAAATAAATAAATGGCATGTCTAGAGTCATCACAATTCAATTCAGTAGCTTAGTATGGTCTATTAAAAAACCCAAACAACAATAAAAAAATCCAACCCCAAACTAAACCAACTAACCAATAAAAAAAATCAAAAAAAACCCACAAAGTCAAAACCATCAAACACATCAGGTCAGGCTTGCAGTTATAAGGAAAATCACAAGGAGGCAGGCAAACACCACAATCAATTAAAAGCAGGAGAAACAGGAG